ATGATAAAACTCATGGGCAAATATAACCTGTAAGAATGCAAATGTATCGAATATAACGATGAATTAAGAATTAATTTATTGTTTATTATATTAATAAATTTTGCTATTATAGTAAGAAATATTTTTTATTAATTGAGGTATTTATTATTTTCAATAATTTATTATTGAAAATTAATTAAAAAATTTTTTTTAATGAATTAGGAATAATTAAAAATTTTTTTTTTATTGATTATATTTTTAAAATCTATAAATTATAAATATAGTAGTTAAAATAAATTATTGTAAAATAATATTTATGATTTAATTTCAGAATATATAGAATGGCAAAAAATAAAATACAAGATAAATTTACAAAATTAAAAAATAGAACTATTAATTCAAAAAAAGAAAGTAAATTTAAAATGTCTATATTGAATATTTCCATTACAGTATTATGTATTGCTATTGCTACTTGGTTTAGTTATAAAGGATATTTAGAAACAAGAGTAAATACTCCATATGATATTAAAAAGGTATGTTCTATACTTTTGTTTCAACTAATAGTTTAGTTTTCAACTAATAAATAATAAATATTTTATTTTGATTAAAAATTTATTTTTTTTTATTTTTATTAAAAATTTTATTCTAATAGTTTGTTATAATAATTTAATTAAAACTATTATATTATATATAATTAATATATAATTATATATGTTAATGATAGCTAGTTACAATCTCAGGATTGGATATCCCAGATAGATATTGGGGTACTTATCGATCAGGAGTATATTTTGGATTAAAAACTCGAGATCCACATTCCTTAATAACAGGATTAATGTGGTATTTTCCACATTTATTAAGGCAAGATGGTAGTGGTCTTAGACATTGGTGTGAACAAAATGATAAACTAGATAAGTAAATAAAATTTATTTATTACATTTTGATTTTTTTTTTGTAAAATAATTACATTTTAACATTTATTTAGATATGCATGGATGGAACATGATGGAAAAACATTTGGTATTCAAGAAATAGTGGATAATTCAGCTATTTTAACTACTACATTTATTAAAAAATCTGGTGGTAAACATGGAGGAGATTGGACAACAAGAATTGCTGTAACTTCTCAGAATCAGATAAGAGATGGTGAAGAAATATCATTACTTTTCTATACTGCCATGGAAGAAAATGTGAAAGGATGGATTAAAGTTAATTTAAATGATGAAAAACAACTAACAAGTATTGAAGGAAATACTCAAAATTTGGGTTCATTTAGTATAAATCTTAATATGATACAGGGAACTGTAGAAGAACATTCTTTTTTAGTAACAGTTGTCTCTGGTTTAAATATTTTGAAAGAAACTGTTCTTCAAAATCTTAGAATAGCATCTCACAAAGGATCATCAAAGAAATACATAGTTTTAGCAGGTGAACAAATACCATTATCATCAGATGGAAAAAAAAGGGATGCAAATTTTATTGCAACACAAATAACAGGAAGAATTCCTTTTGAAATTGAAATTAGTTATGAATCAGGTAGTTTTATTAATAGGGTTGATAAATTAATTGGTCAAAATTATGATCATACTCTAGAAATGCACCGACAATTATTCGACGAAAAATTTGAGAAAATCTTTAAATTAAGATCAAAAGGTTTTACAGAAGAAGAAATTAAATTTGCTAAAATGGCATTATCAAATATGATGGGTTCCATAGGCTATTTCTATGGTAGTTCACAAGTACAAAGTCAATATACTAAAGGACCAGTGCCTTACTGGAAAGCACCTTTGTATACTTCAGTACCTAGTAGAAGCTTTTTTCCACGAGGATTTCTATGGGATGAAGGTTTTCATGGTTTACTTATTTCAATTTGGGATTTAGAAATTGAACTAGATATTATAAATCATTGGTTTGATTTAATGAATATAGAAGGTTGGATTCCAAGAGAAATGATTTTGGGTCAAGAAGCTTTAGCAAAAGTTCCAGAAGAATTTGTAACTCAAATAAATACAAATGCAAATCCGCCTACGTTTTTTTTAACATTACATTTTATACTTAAGCATAAACAAGAAGAATTACTGAAAAAACATTTTCAATTTTTATATAACTTGTACCCTCGTCTTCAAGCATGGTTTAATTGGTTTAATACTACACAAGCTGGAGATATATCAAGTACATATAGGTGGCGAGGTAGAGATGGAACAACTAATAAAGAATTAAATCCTAAAACGCTTACATCTGGGTTTGATGATTATCCAAGAGCTTCTCATCCAAATATCGATGAACGACATGTTGATTTACGTTGTTGGATTGCATTTGCTGCTGATATTATGTATCAGATTAGTGAAATATTAAATCATCCAAATAATAAATACCAAGAGACTTATAACTATTTATCTGATAATGATTTATTAAATAAATTACATTTGTCGCCACATACACAAAGTTATTCTGATTTTGGATTGCATACAGATAAAGTATTTTTACGAAAATCATCTTCGTCTTCAAGATCACATATACAGCCATTGGAAACAATACGAATTGTTATGGAAGATCCAACTTTAAGATATGTTGATTCATCATTTGGATATGTTTCATTATTTCCATTTATTTTACAAATTATCAATCCTAAATCTCCACAATTGGGTAAAATATTACAAGATTTAATAAATCCTGATTTATTGTGGACCAAATATGGTTTACGATCACTTGCAAAGATATCACCATTTTACATGAAATATAATACTGAACATGATGCTCCTTATTGGAGAGGAGCTATATGGATGAATTTAAATTATTTAACAGTAAGAGCAGCATATTATTATTCCAATATTGAAGGACCATATAAAAATGAAGCAAAAAAAATTTATCAAAATTTGAGAAAAAATTTAATACAAAATGTTATAAAACAGTATAAAAAATCTGGATATATATGGGAAAATTATGGTGATATTCATGGAGAAGGTAAAAATAGTCATCCATTCACTGGTTGGACATCTCTAGTTGTACTACTTATGGCAGAAATTTATTAGTTGTAGAATTATATTATAAATAACTTAATTTATGTATATTACTTATATATATTAGTTATATTAATAGTAAAATTAGAAGATATTGCTGAAGGTATTTTATATAAATCAGGACTTATATAAAATAAATATTACTAATATAAATATTGACTATATTGTTGTTATGCATACAAATGTGATAATATTTGTAAATTATTATAATCACTTATGAATACTTTTTTGTAATAAATAGAAAAATATTTTATAACACAAAATATTTATTCATATACATATATTATAATCATGTAAAATTATATAATTATCTATGAAATTTAATAGTAATTTTAATAATGATTTTAAATAATATTATCAAATTGTATGTTTTTACATTATATTTTATATTAATTTTTTAATTATATATGAAATATGATGAAATTATTTAAATAAGTATATTTCAAATAAATTTTTAGTTCATGTTTAAATTATGTATAAGTTTTAGATTATAATAATTATTAGATAATAATAATTTTATTAAATATAGTTATTGTATTTTTTGGAATTTAAGCAATAAAAAAACAATTTTAAAAATAATGTAATCAAATAAATTTCTTAAATCTTGGCTGTAAAAAAATAATATAATGGCTGTAATATAAATTACTTTAAAAATAAAAATTTTGAAATTAAAATTTAAAATAAATGTGATTTTTTAAGTAAGTAGATTATTAATACTTTATTAATATTTATTAATACTAATT